ATATCTGTTCTTGTTATGGCTCTCACTTCTTTAGGGTATATACCTAGTAATGGGATGGCTGGGTCAAATGGTATTTGTATTTCCTCCCTGGCCAATTTTTGAGAAGCAGTTGGCCTTCTCCTTCTTCCTAGTCTGTCTTAGTCTGTAAGCTGTGTTGAAACCTGTGCACCACGTACAACTCTGCTGGCATCTGAAACACCAGCCTCAAGCCTCACAGCGATGCACATGTCCCACAGGATGACAAACTGACAGACAAGTTTGTTTCCCTTAGCTGGCCTTTTGTTGTGCTCATCATGTAATTGCAAAAGTAGATAGAGAATGGAAAGAGCCAGGAAGGCTACACTGACCTGCATTAAATGATTGACAACAGCAACCTGAAATGTTAGAAAGGAACCATAGCAGGAGTGAGTTTATGTTGATGGGGAAGAGCAACTCAGAAAATGAGGTGAGAATGGTGCACAAGTCAAAGAATGTCATCATATCACTGACTTGGACATGTAGAAACTGTTGAATTGGTGTGTATTCTAGTTTATGTATTCCCAACAACAAAGCAGCTCTGGTGGCATAGTGCCTAAGGCACTTGACTGCTAACCAGAATGCTGGCGGTTCAAACCCCCCAGCCACTCCTCAGAAGGAAGGTTGCGTAAGCTACATCCACAGTGATACTGCCTTGGAAACCCAAGGAGGGGTCGCTGTGAGTCGGAGACAACTTGATGGCACATAACAACAGCAACAGATAACTAAGACAGTGTCTTTCTGGACACTTCCATAACCCCTCTATATCAGTCTTCAAAATGTGTGCTTTAGTTCTCAAATCCTCTCTGGAATTAAGGGATAAATAATAAGATGGTGAAACAAGGCAAAGGCAGAGGAGGAGAATCTCTAGGGCTGTGTGTAAGTAAACAGCCTCAGAAGCCAGTTTTTGTGAATGGCAGTCCTAAGTGCTGTAATTGTACACATACATGTGTACAATTTGACACATGTATCTCAAATTATGTATAACGTAATTTCCTGTGGTATAAATTTATATTGTTATGTTTTGTTACACTTTTTAATATTCAAGTAAAATTAAAGTTTCTTTTTTTCTTCCAGTTTTCAAGGGCAGACTTTTGTGGTTTTGAAAGGGTAAGAACCTTTACATTGTTAAGAGTTAGAAGACAAGTGTTTACTTCATAATTTCACAGATGAGATGCAAGACAAAAACTCACAGAGTAACTCTGGTGGTATAGTGCCTAAGGCATTTATTTGACTGCTAAGCAGAAGCCTGGTTGTTCAAACCCACCCGTGACTCCTCGGAAGGAAGTTTGGGCAATCTACTTCCATTGTGATACCACCTCGGAAACCCAAGGAGGGGTCACTATGAGTCAGATCCAACTCGATGGCAGGGAATTTGGTTTTTGGTTTTTTGTTTGAGATTATCCTTGAAATTATTAATAGCATTTACAGTTTGAACTTTGAAATATATACACTTATTATCAGCAGTCATTAAATACTCATCCCTTCTGTTTCAGCGAAGTGTCCCTCTTTGTCTCAGGTGCAACCTCACCCCTTCCTCATACACTGTGGGCCCAGTGACTTCTGTCCAGGACTGCCCTGGTTCTTTGGGGACATTTCCTGCTCAGTTTCCCAGTTGAATAGAATAGAGCAGGGGCTGGAGTCACACTTTACTCACAAGTCCATCTACCTCAATGCCGCTCTGTGCCTACCTGGAGAGAGAGGCACTTCTCCCAGTTTGTACACAGGAGCTTTATATGCAGCAACAGCTCTGCTTCTGGCCTTTTGGGGGGTTTTGTTACAATGGTTAGTTCCTCTCTCTGCTACTAAATCAGGTCATTCCCATCCACATATCAACGTACTTCACTATAAAAGCAACAACAAAATTATGAGTTTTCTCCCCATTCTGTCCTGAGTCCTGCCCATGAACACACATGTGGATGTGCACACCCCCACACTGACACCTCCTAGGAGGAAGGATCACTTATTTCTTAGAAAGTGATGTACTGTTGTATGAGTCAGAGGGGAAGGGAAGGAGGGAAAGGACAGAGGGGACATGAATGACTGTGCAAATGGAATCCCAAACCAAAACTGTATCATCCAGGCATGAGGGTGAAGAAAACTTTTCACACACACAGGCACTAAGGGAGCTTACCACCCAGTGACCTCTCCTGGAGAGGGGTTTCTGAAACAAGGAGAACTAGGAGGTAAGCTGTAGGGTCTATGAGAGCAGGAGTCTTCTTTGTGTTCAGCACTAGATCCCGCTGTGCAGAGGATGCCAAACACAACCTAGGCACTTAGTAAGTATTTGTTGAAAGAATGGAATTGTGTAAAAAACAAGTCTCAACTTTTGTGTTTAATAATTGGGTGGAACCAGAATTCTAGATGGCATACAAGGAGGAATGAGAGTAGTTTTCAGTGAGTAATAAGAGTATCTTAGGCTCTGAAGCGTGGTGCCTACGGCACTTGACTGCTAACCAGAACGCTGATGGTTCAGACCCACCAGCCACTCCTCGGAAGGAAAATGGGGCAATCTACTTCCGTAGGGATACTGCCTCAGAAACCCAAGGAGGGGTCGCTGTGAGTCAGGTCCAACTCCACGGCACATAACAGCAACAACAAGGATCCTTGCTTGGCATTTGGATCAATATGATGAATAACTTCCAAATTTATTAGAATAATGTATAGTTCAACATATATGTTTAAGGAAAGAAGAAAGAAAAAGAATTATACCTAAACTTATAACCCCAAACCTTCCCATCAGTGGAGGTAAAAAAAAAAAAAATCAAAGAATAATCCATCAGTTACACAACAAGCAAGAAAGAACGAAAACAAATGGCTTGCTGTCCTCTGCATACTGGCAGTTTGGTTGTCACATCTGTACATCCATGGTTATTTTAGAGACAGTCTTCTATGGTCTAGAAAAAGATTCCTAGGTTCCTAGATTGTAAACTTCTACTGAAAAGTTAAGGGTGGAATGGACATCCAAAGCAAAGCAAACTGTTGCCACAAACTGATCCACCCTGTAGGACAGGTTAGGACTGCCCCATAGGGTCTCTATGAAAGCAGACCGTCACATCTTTCTTCCACAGAGAGGGGCTGGTGAGTTCCAATCACCAACCTTTCAGTTAGCAACTGAGCACTTAACCACTGTGCCTCCAGGGCTCCTTCGGAAGAGGCATATCCCACATCAGTCTGTCTTGGGACTCTTAGAATATCTTGGGACTTTTGGAGACCCTGAAAATAGCACATTTTTATGCTATTACTCAGGCTAGACCAACAAGGCCTCAGCTGTGCTGAAAGGCTAAGAACTTCTGGTATCTTCAGAAAGATAAAGTGTAGGCAGTGGTCTCTTCCATTAACATATGCTAATTCATGTGAAATTGCTTTTCTCATAAAAGCTTTTACTCATAAAAGCAGACATTTGGGGATGCTTTCTCTTTTGGAAACACTTGTCTAAGTAACAGTGAGAAAGGAAGCTAATGTCCATCATATACTAAGCAAGTTCACTCTCCTTGGCCAACTACGATGCTAACCACATCTGATACCTCGTTCCATGTTCCCCACAACTTGTTAGCCTAGCTCAGAGATCAGGAAACAGAAGAAGAAAGGAGGCAAGGGTGCTTCTGTCCAATTAGGGAGGTTAAATTGACCTAGTTACAACTCTGGGTAACATATTTCATTGATTCAAATGGGCCATTGAGTTTAACATGTGTTGTCATGTTGTAAAATACTAAAGAAGAAAAAGAGCTGCCATATAAGACTGTGACACGTTTCTACAGAAAAGATGTTCACATATAAACTGTATGCCCGAAATATGATCATCCTGCAGCTTCTGGCTGCTGTCAGGCCTCTGTGAAGACCCCTCGAGCCTCGTTACAACTAACAAGAATAAAAGGGAAACATGGACCCCTTGCAGCTGTGCTGAAAGTCTAAGAACTTCTGGTATCTTCAGAAAGATAAAGTGTAGGCAGTGGTCTCTTCCATTAACATATGCTAATTCATGTGAAATTGCTTTTCTTCTTATTCCTTTTTGTATATTGTTCAAAATGTATATTCTTTTTTCTTGTCCTTGTTCTTCAACCTTTTCTTTTGTCTACATAAAATATATCTTTTTATTTGCCTCACATATTTAAAGTCTCCAACTTTTAATTTTTTAATCACTTATTTCTATCCCTCAAGCCTACACGTTGCCTAATAGATATTTTTATTTATTTATATAGGCTGACTATGTCAAAGGAAAGTTGTGGTACAGTGAAAAGTGCTTTGCTAACAAAGAAAGCTTTGAAGGTGAGTATTAGCTAAAGACACATTAACAGGCCCTCATCAGTGCAGACAATACATGTGTTCTCTCGGTGCAGACAGTACACATGTTCTGTCAGTGCAGACAGTTCGTGTGTTCTGTCGGTGCAGACAGTATGTGTGTTGTATCAGTGCAGAGAGTACATGTGTTCTCTCAGTGCAGACAGTACGTGTGTTCTGTCGGTGCAGACAGTACGTGTCTTGTATCAGTGCAGAGAGTACGTGTGTCCTCTCAGTGCAGACAGTACATGTGTTCTCTCGGTGCAGTCAGTACGTGTGTTCTCTCGGTGCAGACAGTACGCGTGTTCTGTCGGTGCAGACAGTACGTGTGTTCTCTCAGTGCAGATAGTACGTGTGTTGTATCAGTGCAGACAGTGCACGTGTTCTCTCGGTGCAGACAGTACGCGTGTTCTGTCAGTGCAGACAGTTCGTGTGTTCTATCGGTGCAGACAGTACGTGTATTGTATCAGTGCAGAGAGTACATGTGTTCTCTCAATGCAGACAGTACGTGTGTTCTCTCAGTGCAGACAGTACATGTGTTCTCTCGGTGCAGACAGTACGTGTGTTCTATCGGTGCAGACAGTACGTGTGTTCTGTCTGTGCAGACAGTACGTGTGTTCTCTCGGTGCAGATGGTACATGTGTTGTGTCAGTGCAGACGGTACGTGTGTTCTGTCTGTGCAGACAGTACGTGTGTTCTCTCAGTGCAGACAGTATGTGTGTTCTCTCGGTGCAGACAGTACGTGTTTTCTGTCCTTGCAGATAGTTCGTGTGTTCTGTCGGTGCAGACAGTACACGTGTTGTATCAGTGCAGAGAGTACGTGTGTTCTCTCAGTGCAGACAGTACGTGTGTTCTGTCGGTGCAGACAGTACGTGTGTTCTCTCAGTGCAGACAGTACGCGTGTTCTGTCGGTGCAGACAGTACACGTGTTGTATCAGTGCAGAGAGTAC